CGTGCTGCCCCCCCCCCCCCCCCCCCCCCCCCCCCGCTCTCCTCTCGCTCTCCTCCTCCTCCTCGCTCCTCGGGGGGGGTGGCAGATCGCCGTGTCCTCTAGGGGATGAGGGTCTGACTCCGGGTCCGAGTCTGTGGTATTTTTTTGGCATGTCGTCCCGGTAGCCCCGTCGCTCGACCTCCTGGCAACGCTCTGTCGCCTCCCCTCCCCTCCCTCCTCTTCTCCCTCTCGCCCACTTCGCCTCTGCCTCCCGTCTTTGTCCCCTGTGGCTGCCCCCTCCCGCTTTTCTCCTTTGCCCCACAAACATGCCGGCGATCGGTGGCTTTGCTCCTGCTCAGCCAGTTCTCTCGTCAGATCCCGAAGCCCGGGTTCTCCAGTTGGAGCAGCTTGTTGACCGTGCGTCTCGCCTGGCGCCAGTCCCATCCAACCCTATGCCTCGCTCGCTGACCCTCTGGGGATTCTCGCCCCCCCCCCCCCCCCCTGCTCCCCTCCCCGTGCAGAATTCCGCCTCGGCGATGAAGAACAAACCGCCTTCGTAAGCCGACTGGACAATGTTGAACAGCGCCTCGAGAGTCTCGTCAAGAGTCTGGACGCCTCGGGCCCCGGACTTTCGGATACCTGTCACCGACTGAAGATTGCCTGTATGTCCCTTTTCTGTCCTCCTACCTGCTTCCAGTGAATGGGCCGCTTGATCTCCCTCCCTTCCTGGGCCTCCTCTTTCTTACCTGTTCTCTTTCCTCCCTCGTGCGCGCGCGCACACACGCACACGCACACGCACACGCACACGCACACACACACATGCCCCCTCTGTTCGCCCGACAGCGAGCACGGTCGATCAACTGCTCGAGCTGCGGACTGAGACCGACGGAAGCCAGCCACCTGCACGCGTCCAGCGAACGCTAGTTGACTCATTCATCCTGCCACGCGATGCGGCCGGTCCGGGGGGCCCGGTCTCCGATCTGGATCGTGTTGTTGAGGGTTTGGCCGAAGTGGCCAAGCACTCGGATGCGGTGATGGATGCCGCGGCGCCGCTTGGTACGCACACGCGCCTATCCAGAATTCTCTCTCTCCCCTCCCCCCCCCCCCCCCTGCCTTGCCTCCTTCCCCCGCTGCTCGCTTGGCCTCGAAAGCTCCTCGCTGACAAACCACCTCCAGCCATCTGCCAGCAGCATCTCGAAGTAGAGGAGCTGGCACACAATGTCGCCTTCCTGCGCGAGACCACACAGGCGCTTGACCAGGCGATTCTGGCCTCACTCGACCGCTACACGAGTCTGGTACGCCATAGCCCGGGCAGCCCCCTCTTCCGCCAGTGTCCCCTCCCCGGTCCATCGGGTGCTTGATGGCACAAACTCTTCTTCCTTGATCCACTAATCTCATCTCTCCCTCCGGGGGCATGCACACACATGCACGCACATCCAAAAATGCAAATGCGACTTCCCCCCGCTTCGACCAACCTCAGGTGGACCTGGCTAACAGCCTTTTTTCCAATTGGCAAGCAAGCCAGGTGGCCTCGGGGGCCGGCGCCGCTCCGAGCACGTAAATCGACCCCAGCAGGCTGTGCATAGCACCTGCACCCCGGCAGTGCCAGGGGGGAAAAATACAAACCAAAAACACATTCGTCCACAAGCCGCCCGCCGGGCACTCATTTCCTCTGTCAACAAGGGGAGGGGAAAGAATGGAGGGGATGTCACACTGACCCACGAAGCGAGTAGCATTGCGCAAAGAGCACCCAGAACAAGGGGAGGGAAGAAAAAAAGGGAGAGTCTATCAAAGGGTGGTGGTGGTGGTGAAGGGAGGGGAGGAAAGTTGCGGAAGAACAGGAGAGAGAGAGAGGGAGAAGGAGAAAGTGAGATGAAGAGTGAAAACATGCAACCACGAGACGGAATGTGCCCCAGGTGTACATGCATACACGCATACACATGCGTCCGCCTGGGGGTGCCTTCACTTGTCCGTCATCCTGGCCTCCTGGAGGAGGCGGGTCGCCACGGCGATGGTATCCTCGCCGTCAGCCTCAGCCTTGCGAAGAATCTCGATGTTGCGCGCACGCAGGGCCCGCAGCTGCTCGAACTTCCGCTTCGTCCGGTAATGACCGAGGGTGCGGTCGATGAAGCCGGGCGGGCTCTCATCGAACTCCTTGATGAAGTCGTTGTTGAGGAGCTTGAGGGTCATTGATGATGGACGGAGAGGAAGGGAGGGAGCGAGAGGGGGAGAAAGATGAGAAAGGATGTGAGTCAGTTTGTGGGAGAAACCAGAGCGAGAGCGAGAGTGAGGGTGTGTGTAAGAGAGAGAGAGAGAGAGAGAGAGAGAGAGGGGGGGGGAGGTGATCGACGAAAGTCCGGGGGGACGTACGAAGCTCCGAGTGGAACTGCGAAGGTTGTACACCTCGCACATGGGGTCGCGCGTGAACTGCGCCGGCAAAGTGGCGAACAAAAGTCAGGGAGAGGCAGGGGAAGAGCATTGGCATCCAGAGGCGGCGGCGATGGCGGCACACAAACGCCGGAGAAAGGCGAAGGAGAGGGAAAGCGGCGCACCATCTGCTGGTAGTGATTGGAGACCAGGCGCTCGAGAGCGGCAGCCTCCCGCTCAGCCGAGCTGAGCACATGCTCGGCGGTCGGCGGGTTGGCTGAGGGTGGCGCCCGGACGGCGGCGGCCGCGTCGCGCGCCAGAACCGGAATCTCATCGATCAAGTAGTCCCGCAGGTTTCGACCCTCGCGGTTATGCTCGACCGAGCACTCACGCGCCAAGCGCTGAACCTTGCGATAGACCTCGAGCGAGCGCTTTTGCAAGACCGCCGGATCGGCCGCGGCGTCGGGGACGGTCTCGGCCACCACCTCGGGGCTGATCTCGGGGGTGGCTTTGGGAGCCGATGCATCGGTGTTGGTGGCGGCAGTGGCGACGGAGGCAAGCCCGCGGACCGGTGCCGACCGGGCCGGGCCGACCACCAGCATGCGGGACGCAGAACGTGCGAGCATCATGGCGTCAGGGAGTCGCGATGCTCCTCAAGATGGAGGGAATACACACACACACACACGGGGAAAGACTCCAAGCGGACTGCCAAGCGGGGAGGTGGAGGGAGAGAGAGAGAGAGAAGGGCGGCGAGCGGAGAGGGGCCGAAGAAAATGCAGAAAGAGGGCTTGGAGGGGAGTATTGCTGCGGATCGTGCTGGGTAGCCGACTCCGATCTCGCCTCGCGTTGAATGGGCTCGCCTGCACCCCGAGGAAGGACACCACGAAGAAGGGGACGCGCGGCAAAGGCCCAGCAAGCCAGGAGGGGGGGGGGGGGGAATCAGACCCCGACAACCACCACACCCCAGGCGGGGCGGACCGGGGGGGGTTGGGCCTTTGAGCCCCTCGCGAGGGGCGACGAGCCGCGGAATGACGGTCCTTTGCGAAGACCAGATGCTGCCTGGGCAGTATGCATTGGGATATGGACGCTGGCCACGCACGATGGGCGTGAGCGTGGCGTGATTCTCTCCCACATGATCCCCGCCTGTCACTCAAACACCCAGACGGATTGTTGTTGAACGCGGCGAGCGCGAGTGTGTGTTCAATAATATGGTGTGGGCAAGGCCGGGGGGACACACATGCCCGGAGAGAAGGCTTCCCCCACGGCCGGGCGTGTGTATGTTTGTGTGTGTGTGTGTGTACGTGTACGCGTACATGTGCGTGTACGTGTGTGTGTGTGTGTGTGTGCGCGTTCCTTCCCATATTGCCCGGTGGCAGGAGTCTCTCAGCCCTTCGAGAGGAGCGAAGCAGTGAAAAGGCCTCTTGTCGGGGATCCCTTGCCCCCGCCGGAGGGGGGACCGTCAAGATCACCCCGTCTGAGCGTTCTCTCTCCTCCCGCTTCCCCCCCCCCCCCCCCC